TTGGAGACTGAATGAAAACTTATTTAGATATGAGAAAAACATTAATGAATGTAAAAAGTTGTTAAAAGAATATTTTGTTTTTAATATGAATAAGGGTACATCTATGGAAATGGTATGGGATGCAAGTAAAGCGTATATGAGAGGAGTTTTGATAAATATGAATAGACTACATAGACGCAAACAGGGGGAAAAGAGAATTGAACTTGAGAATGAAATTAGGAAGAGAGAGCAGGAGCTAATCTTAAACCCAGGAGATAAAAAGATTAAAGAGACAATCGCATTATTAAAAGAGCAATTTAACATGTTAATGTCAGATCAGGTGGCTACCAATTTGTTATATGCAAAACACAACACTTTCTGTAATGCAAATAAATCTGGTAGATGGTTAGCATATCTGATTAGGAAAAAACAGAAGTCTCGTAACATATTGAAATTACATTTTAAAGGAAAGGAAGTGTATCAACAGGAGGAGATTCAAAAGGTTTTTCATGAATTTTTTATAGGCTTGTATACGAACAATAAAATTCAAAGATTAGATATAGATAGATACTTGGATAAGGAAAAAATATCCATAGTTAAAAACCGGGGGGGGGGGGGGAGAAGCATTATGTATGCCATTCTTAGATGTACAATAAAAAGTTTGAGTTTCAGTTAAAGTTTCTCTTAGGTTAGACTCAGTTCCCACTAGCTACCTAGGTACATCTTAGCAAAAATTACTTGCTATTGCTCTTTGTTAGGATTTAAAATTTTAAAAAAACTTCAGTCCAAATCACAGCCTTGAGATTTCCAGGTTTCTAGGTGGAGTTTAGGAAAGCAGATAAATGAGTGCTTCCCTTAGAGAGTCTCTTTTGGAGTAATTAGAACTTCTGGATCTGACATCTACAAATAAATTATCTACCTGTCCAAGAATGCATAAAAAGTGGCGTATCCCGTTTGCATATAGTTTTTAGTATAATAGCAGTATATACTGTAGGGATAGAAATCCAAGGTGAAAGTGAATCTCACAAGTTTATGTCACTGAAATATCCGATTTCCAAAACTTAATTATTTTTTAAAAATTATATTAGGACCCTGTCAGGGGTCAGTTTCTTTACATCTCTTAAATATGCAACATCCCTTTGTGAAATACAGGTAGTCCCCTACGTACGACCATAATTGAGCCCAACATTACTGATGCTAAGCAAAACATTTATTAACTGAATTTGTCCCATTTTACAACCTTTCTTGCCATAGTTGTTAAGTGAATCACAGCAGTTGTTGAGGTAATAACACAGTTGTTAAGTGAAGCTGGTTTTCCCATTGACTTTGTTTATAAGACGGTCGCAAAAGGGGATCACGTGACCCCGGGACACTGCAACCGTCATAAAGGTGAGTCAGTTGCCAAATGTGAGTCTGAAGCATCTGAAATTTGATCATATGACCATAGGGACGCTGCAATGGTCATAAGTATGAAAAATGGTCATAAGTCACTTTTTTCAGTGCCATTTAACTTTCAACAGTAACTAAATGAACTGTTGTAAATCAAGGACTACCTGCAAAGCCTTTGAATATCCTTCCCTTCCCACCCCTTTCCTTATCAGTAGTTTGTAAATCTGATGTAAACGAAGAGAGTTGTAAACTTCGGGTCTTTTGCTGTTTTTTAGTTATCTTTTCTTTGGCCTAATGGTTTTTAATAACGGAGGTGAATGTGTTTGCAGTGCTTCGTATTTGATTTAAAGGAATGTCGGAGACGGAAGAATAATGCCGTGTTTGTATCCACATGTTTTCTAAAGCTCCATCCTGGAATCAAATACGAACCATCACAGAGCCCCAAAAACTAAAAGAGGATATTGTACATTTTGAAACAGTTTTTGTTGTTTTCCAAAGGAGCTTTTTTGCAAGAGGCAACAGGATTCTCTGGTTTTTCTTTGAAGGCGTTTCGCTTCTCATCCAAGAAGCTTCTTAGATGAGGAGCGAAACGTCTTCAAACATAAACCAGAAAGTCCAGTAGCTTCCTGCAAAAAAGCACCTTTGGGACAACCATGTCCTAGATGACTGAGAATCTCCATAGTTAGTTTTTGTGATCCTTTTTTTTAAAAATTTTTTTTGAAATAATTATATATAAGGTTTGGGAGAATTGAACATGTCTTGGTCTTAGATAAAGAATAAGGACAGTTGAAGCAATAGGGCTGTAACGCCCACCTGTTTTGGTGATTTTATTCATTTGTATTGCTTTATGCTATGACTTGTTTGCCCCTCTTTTGTTTACCAGACACAATTGCCTAGGTTCACAGGAGCTAGAAATTGGTAGGTTGTGAATTCTACACGCTATCCCTTTCTCCCTCCAAAGAAAGCCCTACAGAATGGGCTCAGTCTTAGCCGAACATTTTAGCTTTTTAAAAGTGCATTGGAGGTGGGATTTGTCGGAATTTAAGGAGCAAAATTGTGGTCGCTAGCAGTACTTTCAAAGCATTGGGATATATGCTTCACTTCTGTACATGGACACACACACAAATTTAAGATGATTTTTCCAGGGATTTTTGCGGGTGCGGGGATTACGGAGAAAAAAAATGGGTTTAGCTTTAAAGGGTTTCTGTTTGGTTCCTTTAAAGCCCTAAATGCACTCTCCCCCCAAAAAAACCTCCAGGTTTTCCCAGTAGGCTCATATATTTATTTATTTTAAAGATTTATATGGTTGCCCATCTTATACAACTCTGGGTGGCTCACAACAACAATAAAAACCAGTAACTATAAAACAATCATAAAACAGTAAAACAATAAAACAAAAGGCGCATGCCTTCAGCGTTCCCTTGGGATGCCTCTCCGTAAGCATCAGTTGCTTAAAATTGGGAAATTTAGACTGGCAGTTTTCAGAGCTCCGCCGAAGCTCCATAGCTCCATGCAAATGGAGGAGTCAAGCAGAGAAGCTTTGCAGAGCAGACAATGCTTGAAATAGAAAAGGATACAGAACATCTTGAGGGGAAATCTCATGCTCAGATCAGATTACAGCAAATATACATGAGCATATCAGAATTATCTTTCCCAGAAGGAATACAAAGCAAAAAAAAAAGAAACTGAAAGAAGAAATTAAAGTCAAGCGGGTTCCTTGTATCTTCTTCACAATATACCTCTGTGTTTTGCCGACACTTTCCACTCCTCGATCAGCTTGGTTTTCCCTTGTGATGTTTTCTTCCGCTGCTCTGGTTCAAGTTATAGATCAAATTACTGACTGCTTTTTAAGACCAGGGATGGGTGAGTGAAGGTCAGTAAAGAAACAAGCCCACTCTTCTATGTTAAAGGT